TAACGAAATGATATAAATATTTTAATATTTTAATATTATGTTTAACAAAATATGAATAAAAAGAAATCATGAAGCTTATTGCTAATTTCCAGTAAATCATTCACGTATTTCCTTTACGATTTATGTACATCGCAGAGAAATGAAATTAATATAATTATTAAATATTATTATTATATTATTATTAAATAATATAATATATATTATTATTAAATATATTCTTCGATATAAATATATAATATATTAACAATATATTAAATATAATATTAAAATTATAAAAAAAAACAAAGCTGAAAAAAATTCAACTATACTTTACAAATCTATTTGAGTTAAAAATATAAATATAATAGCCGAAATCGTAAGTAAAAAAGAATAATCATAAAAATTAAACTTCACTTAACATAAATATCATATTTTATCATATATGATACTTATATGTCTATATACATATATAGAATATCCCAAAAAATGAAAAATTTTAAAAGAAAATGTTGTTTGAAATTATCTTAGAAATCTGTACCTGGTATTCCTATATTTTTGAGATACTCTATATACATAATACAGTCATGAAGATATTAATGATATTAATGACTTATCTATTAAGTTAATAAGTACTTATTAACTTTAATCTAATTTTTTGAAACATAGCTATAATGTTGTTTTATTTATTTTATTTAATTTAATCAATATTTTTAAGTAATATTATAAAATTTTCATTTAAGAAATTCATAAAAAAGAAACTTACATAACACAATCCTATTAACAAAGTTCTACTTAACACAGAAATTTCAAATAGTATATATTGAAGCATAAGAAAATTCATACGTAAAAAAATATTACCTATTATTCCGGTTACGATTAAATTTTACGTGTCTCAAAAACGGTAAAAGCTTTTTGAGGATAAGATAATTTGTATTCTTTAAAAGTGAAATCCATTTACTTCTGCAGTAGTCCACTGTTAGCATTCAATTCGTCATTATCTAAAACAATGATACATTGTTATCAAACAACAATAATTGGTATTAAATTATTATTTTAATGCATTATTTAATATAACCATTAATATCGCTTCATATCTAAAAAATTAACTGTTTAATTAATTTATTAATTAAATTAACTGTTAATATTAAATTACTGTTTTAAAGTACTAGTTTCCTTATCAGGAAATATTTTATGCAACATAAATTTTACAATTTATCAAATTAATATCATATTACATGTTTCTTCTTTCTGAATCACTGCTCAATGATTATTCACAGTTATTAAACGCTATTCATTTTATTGCAGATCGAAACGAAACAACACTTTAAATTTTTTTAATTTACTATCCTTATTTCTATTGTTGAAAAATCTTATTTCATATATCACTTTCGAAATCAAACACGGATTTTCTATTTTAATAAATATTTTTCATTATAAGTTCGTACAAACTTGATTTGGTCTCAATACTGTGCTTGCTATAATGTTTCTGACGCGCCAACACTGCTGTTTGTATAGACACTGATACACGTGTTGCGAAGCTCACGTGTACCATGCTTATTGACACCTGT